GATTACTTTAAACAATAAACACTAGAGGAATGTTATCCTGCAATAGCATTATAATGTTTAGATACAACAGCATTATGATATTTTAATATAATGGCATTACAGCATTATGACATTATGGCATTATGACATTACGACATTACGGCATTACAGCATTGCGACATTACGGCATTACAGTATTGCGGCATTGCAGCATTACAGCACAAATTAATTATGGCAAATAATACGGCACATGCTGTAACCATATTAATTTGCCAAATTAATTCTACTGCTAACACTAGAGTAGCCAATAAAAAGCAAGTATAAAAATATATATTATTGAAGTGATAATGACAACAATTGTGTAACCAAATTAATGATATACTGTATACACACGTACATACATACAGTATGTACGTACATATGTTCTACAGCTGGCTATATCAATATATACATGATTAGTAATAGCTGTTTCACAAATTTTTTATATAAATTTAAATTACCATTATAGCGATAGTACTTCTTCGTGGGAGCAAGAATAAATTTATCTGTAAAACTTTTGCAATGTGAAAGTAAATACTACTGCAGTCCTAAATATTGAAGACAATGATAATATCTTGGTGGATACAATTTAACTGCATGGGATAATAGCAAAAGTGGGCTCTATTAAAGACAATTAACTATTAATAATCTTTATAGCCATAAAAATCTGACCTATTTTCTAGATTGAGTATGTTAAATACTATGTGCACCACATTATTCTCACATAGCCCACTATTTTTAAACTTGACATGTTAGGAAAAAGGAAGTATTTAGCTATGAAATTAGAGTGGTGAGAATGTGTATATTCATTATGATAGTCATTAGAATGTAGTAATCAAATATAGTATGTGATGTAAATTATGTAATTGGTATTAGTATTAGAATTAAAATTATAAAAATTTAGATTGTTATTTCTCTCTGTCACTTTTGAATTTTTGAAAATCATTTATATTAAATAAATTATAGAAATAATTTTTCCCTTTGTAGCTGTAGTAAGAGAAAGTAAAATGATTCTTTCAGCTGCACTATTTAAAGTTGATAAAAGTTTTACCTTTAAAGATTTACTTTATCAAGCAAATAGTTATTATGTTTCTGAAGAGATTGTTAAAGTCTACATTCAAGTAAAGGGTATGAATATATAGCACAATGTAGTATCTGGCATAGATACAAGTTTAAAGATATATATGCAAGAAGAACAAAATATATCACATATTCAGTTTACTATTCAGAATGAACAATTAGTGTTCTCTGCAAGCCAAATTCCTTCAACATCTAATGTTTTTAATAAAATAATGAATGCAGCAACCAGAAATAGTTTACCAATTTAAAACTGACAACAAATCACAATGACCAATTATATAATGATTTTTAGCACTTTTAGGTAGTAATATTCTTGTTTGAGAATATAATACACACAATTCCATTGGTAAATCATTTATCAATCAGCTTGTATCTCTTCTTTATTATTTAGATAATAAGTATGCTATTCTTAAGATTCATAGTCTTAAAATACCATCAATTTTTCTTCAGTTACTATTATATCAGCAAAATTCTTATTATAAAAATAGTTCATATCACAAAACTACTTTAAGCTATAAAGAATTAGAGTTTTATACTGATAAATTCAAAGAATGTATTTTAGAGTTATAGGTGAGTAAAGCTTATTCAGATCAATTTGTAACTGCATTCTTGGAATTTTATTCAGTAGCTTATATATATACTAATTATTTAAAAATTGTAAATCAGCTTGTGCAAAAGATTCAATCTAATCTTCTCTAGCTAGAAGTTCTGAAAATAATAGTATATTTGAAATGTGATTATAATGTTTATTTAATGATATTCAAGAGATATATTTGCCAATTACTAAACAAATTAGAGTAACTAATAAATATAAAGTTATATTACTTGAAAATTTTTTACCTGAAACAAAAAAAGATAATTTTTATACTTATCAAATTTTTGTATTGATTCAACTATTATGTTATATTGATATCAACATGGAAACTACCTGGAAACATTAAACTTTATTTAGAGAGTTTCTGAGAATATTGAGTTATATAATAATACAAAAAATGCACAAGTAATAATTAGAACACAAACAATAATATTTCAAATTTTTACTAGATATATGAGAAGATAATATTTGTGAAAGTAGTATATTTGTTAATATATATTTAGTTTTATAATAGATATTAAAAACTACTAATACTAATATTTAATTATAAATAGTATTTATTAATTATGAAAATTACTCCAGATATATTATGTCATTTATATAATGATTTAACAGTGGACTTAGTACTTTTAATAATTCTCACTTTGAGCAAGTAGATCAAAAAATAAAAATAGTACTTGAACTTGATAATTCTGAACTTATTAAAAATTTATTTTTTTTTTTATTTTTTTTTTTAATATTAAGGTGAAGCCTTGCTCGTATCTTTATTAAATAATTTATATAAGCAATTACATAATAAAATTATATAAAAAACTTAACTTGTATAATAACAAATAAATATAAATTATATGCAAGAATAAGAGCTTAGACTAATTTATCTGCAATCTAAACCACTAGAGTGGCCAAGACACACCTAGATTTAAAAACTTTATACAAATCTAGATAAGTTCTAGATAAGTATAAAGTTTTATAGAAGTACTATAGGATGCATAAAATGTAGATTCTTTGTGATGTAAATAAGTATAGTATTTTTAAAAGAATCTAAATAAAGATAGAAAAGAGAAAAGAAAAAAAATATAGTAATAGTAATAGTTTTGTTAAAATTAAATGAGTTAAGTAATTTAGATTTAAAGAGAAGTTTAGAAAAGCAAAAAAGAAAAGAATCAAGAAAAGAGAAGTTTACGAAAAAAAGAAGAATAAAAATAAAATAAATAGTATCTTAAAAGAGAAAAGTAAAATAATAAAAAAGAAAAAGAATAGTAAAGAAAAGTAAAAAGTAAATAAAGTAAGGATAAAAGTATATAAAAAACAGTGCTGGATAATGTAGTCGGTAATGCATAGTGCACCAGAATTAGTATACTACTAGTAGAGTCAAACATGTGGCCCATAGGGTATACAATGCTCTAACCACTATACTATGGATGTGAACACAATAAAAAACAAAAATGCTGGTTTTTTGAAGATCTTATTCTAGATTTAGAGTTCCAATAAGAAGTTTAGGATTATCCATGTTTATATATTAGTTAATCTATAGGATGTGTGATGTTATACCACATGTGAATTTGTTCGATTTAAATTAAAGTTTGGATTTTGGGTTTGATAATAGTTTTTGAAAGATGGGTAAATACATGAAGTAATTTGAAAAGGTTTTATAAGCAGTATGTTCCATTTGAGGAATTTGAAAGTTTGGCTTAGAGATTTCAGATATTTGAAGATTTGACTTAGAGATTTCAGGTATATGGATATTTGATTCAGAAATTTTGAGTATTTGAAAATTTGACAAAAAGATATCTGTATTGATTGTTGGAATTAGAAGTTTTTTGGAAATATATTTTATAGCTTGTGGGAGATAAGATTGATAATATTCAGAAAAAATTAAAGAGATTGGATGAGTAGAAAATTGTATAATATTAAAGTAAGCTATAATATTAGCAAAATGAAAAGGGTTTATAGAAATTGAAAAGGTATGTTGTAATATATTTTTGAGATTAAAATTGGTTATATTATCATTTTTAGTAGCTTGTTTAAGAAATTGTTGAAAAAAAGTATAAAAGAAAGAAGTTTTACATTTAAAATTGGTAGGAATATTATTAAGTTGTGTAAATTGTTGTTCTGCTTTATAAGCAAGTTTTTAAGAGATTTAAAGAGTAATGTAGTAGATAAAGATTAATTTTGTTCAAAGCTAGAAAAATCTAGATCAGGGTTGGTATGTTGGAAATTGTATAAAGAATTGTTTAAAGAAAAAGGAAGTTAAATTATAAAAAGTATGTATAGTATTGTTAGAAAGAATATTGCAAATAGAATTTGTACAGGTATGTAAATAATATAAAGCAGCTTTAATTGATGTATCAGTACGTTCTTGTAGTGAATTAATTGATGTAGGTTGGTAAGAATCTGGAAGTA